ATAATTTTAAATATTATAAATTATATAATTTATTTGTAAAAATTAATATTTGTCTTAAAAGCAAAATTTTTTTATCTTCAAAAAACAAAAAAATTTTTTATAGTAAATCCTAATATTATACAAATTTTAATTAATCAAAAGTTTTTTAATAATTTTAAAATATTTTTTTAATAAATTGATAAAATAGATCTTTAAAAATTTTTTTTAATTAAAAAATATATTGTTAAAATTAATATTTAAAATTTTATTTATTTTTTTTTTTTTATATCTTCGCAATGTTATGGAAGGGTGGATTTTTATTAGGTATTTTAGTAGTACATTCTTGGTTAACAAGAGTATATATAGCTACACATGCAACTTTTTGGTTACCTAATTTAAGTAGTTAGCCTAAAAGTTTTACACTATATGTCATATCTGTAATCTAACTAGGAGAAGTATGATGGATATTCAATTTGATAGGTTAATAAATGTAAACAATAAATGTGATCATTAACCAATCAAATTAATTGAAAATAATATATTATTGCCTCATTTTTGAAGATTTAAAAAAAAAAAAACAAATGATATATTATGATCTTTTTTTTTTTTTTTTTAACTAGTCTCTTTGGCGTAAGGGTTTTTATTCAAGTATAATGGGTAGGGAGCTACAACAGAACCTCAATTATATTAGAGAGTACTTATTTAAGTAGTTTGCATATAGATAACTGTATATTATAGGTTCTACACTAGCTGTTATACCTATAACCCAACTAGGAGATTATCTATTTAAACCCTCTGTAACATACACTGCCCTCTTGTGTCACTAGAACACTTTGTTACATTTGTCAGTCAAGAGTTCTGGATGCGTACCATAGGCTTAGGACTAATTTATCTTCAAGACATCATTGCTAGAGCTTTTTGTACCTACAATCTGGCTAATCTAAACTTTTGGTAACTTATGCCAAGTCTGAGAACGAGTACTTACAAGTTGAAGCTGCTATTATTATCCAATCCTGCCTTTGTAAAGTTCACCCAAACTTCGGCACCCACTTTACGGACCGTTTACCATTTTACTGGTCTCTAAACTTCCAATCTAGATAGCCCGAAAGGGCAGACCCCTTCTTCAGAATACACTGATGGCCTGGTTGGTATGGTGCCTAGCCAAACACCTTGGTCCTATTCAGTTTTTAGATCTTCAGTGATAATCCTTTATGTAGTGCTATCAAAGATCTATGCTATCTCTCTATTCAGGACTTGCCAAGCAAGATTTCATATGCCTCAATCTTTGGATTTATACAAAGGCTTCACTTGGGTTTTGTATAACTCTTGCATCACACTATAGTTCCATATTCTTCTAGTACAAGCTGATACGACCAAAGCTACAGATCCAATAATCCATTAGATTACACACAGTCTGCCATAACATATTCTGTAAAATTCGAATTTCATTACCAGTAGGATTTGAACTCTTGTCCTGCCGCTTGGGATTGTGACAACTTATCAACTTCACTAAGTCACCACACCCCTTATATTATGATTTTTAACCTATATAATTAATAAAACACTAATACTACTTATATATATTATAATCTAAATAAAAGTTATATCTAACAATTTAATCCTACAATATTAAGCAATATATAATATATAAGTATTAGTATAAACTTATTATTATTGAAATAACACGTTAAAATAATATGTGTAAAGGTTTCAAGTTAAATTTTATATGTAGTATAATTTCTTTTTATTGACTATCTTCGAAATTTAGAATTTAAATATAGCTAATATAATGGTAAATACTAAAAATATTATCTTCTAAGCCAAATTTTTAGTGATACTGATCTATACTGATCTTTTTCACTTATAGACATATAAGAAGTTAAAGAATACTAAAAAAGTTTTTTTAAAAAACTTTGCTATGTAAAACTATAAGTTGCCAATTAATGATATAGCTTTTTATAATAAGAGTTACTTTAAAAAAATTTTTTTATGTTGTATAACTCAGGGATTTTCAAGTCAATCAAATCGAATGTCATTATGCTACTAGGAAATTATCTATTTAAACTCTCTAATGTCTCTCATCCTGTGCTATTATCATATAATCATACCAATCCATAACTTCATGCTGCTTCTTATTGAAGACTATTCAGATTGATATTTGCTATACTACTTATATCCTAATTCTATAAATAACCCAGTAGAATTCTTATACTACTAGGTTGTCTTAGGGAGGGTATAATATATACTTTCTTAATCTTTCTATGTCCCATACACTTTTAGATTAGGCTACAAATACTTTTCGCAGCAACTGAAACTACTACTAGCAGTCAGGACAAACTATTAAACAGCACAATTCTAATATTTAGTACTTTTGTAAAGTTCGTTCTGATCTTAATACCTACATCAAGCTGGTCTTTATACTGATCCCTCTCTAACTACTAAACTAGTTAGCTCAGACGGGTTATTATATCTAGGTTTTAGTTTCTTCTGGTTTTACTTCTCTTGGTTCCTAATTCTATAGCATAGGACTTTTTCCTTCAGTATAACTCTAGCGGTCAGGTTAGTAAACCCTTTTTGCTTTAAGATTTTTGTCTAATTTTTCAATCTCTAGTTTTTGACTTTTCTGCAGTATTATTAAAGATCTTCACTATCTCTTTACTCGGGTTTTGCCAAACGAGTTTTAATTATTCCGATTCCTTAAATTTGGATTGCCCAAAAGCTTTTATTTTACAATAATAATACCAAAATTACAGATAATATATCCAATCAATCATCAAATAATTGCTACCAAACACAGGCCTATTTTTTTAAAAATATCTCCAGTAAGAATTGAACTCTAGACCTGCCACTTGGGATGACAACTTAACCACTATTTTAAGTCATCACACTTTTTTTAAAATTTTATTAAATTAGGTTTTCTCTATTCTATTCTAGCTATATAATTACAATATATAGTAATTTGTTTATTATCTAATAACTTTATTAAATTATTAAACTGTCTATTGAATCTTTTGGCTTGTCTATTGTTTATTTATATAAAATTTATATTATTAGATTAAATTTAGCAAATTAAGATTTAAATTTTGCAAGAAAATTTTTTATTAATATGCAGAAAGACAAAAATATTATTTCTGATAGATCGGCAATAATAATCTTAATGGAGTTAAAAAAAAAAATTTATTTGAGTACTGTTTCTAATAGAGTTCTAAAAATGAACCCTAATCTAACCTTTTTTTTTATTATAGTAGTATAGTATTTTGAAGTCTTTTTTTAAAACTATATTAGAAACAGTATATAAATCAGATTTTTTTCTCACCTTATCAGAAACCAACAATCCATCAAGAATAGTATTTTTGCCACAAAAGGCAATTTTATGCATTTACTAATTTTTCTTTCAAGTTTCTGCAAGATCAGATGTAACATAAAAATCAAAACAACAATTGCTTTTTTTCGAAAAGTTACATTTTTTCAAAATTTTGCCTAAGAAATCACCTTTGGGCACTAACAAAAAAAAATTTGTACAAAATTTTATTGTTAGGTTGTTCATTAATACTAACCCCAAGCCCTAACTTAAGTATTACATTTTAAATAGAAAGTGATATGTAAATTGGTACAAAGAATCCCAGCCAATAGAAACTTGGGAGGAAATTAGTAAATGCCAGTTTCATTTGTTTTGAAGTTTCCTGATCGTGTTATGTTACACCTGATCTTGAAATTTGATTGGCTAGTTAGGATATTTGAAATTTTTTGTGTGGGGTTGGTGTAACATCCACACGTAGATCACTAACGCTGGCCAATAAAAACCAATTTCACATTATGCTCTAAATAATCAAAAACACGCATATAAATAAAAAATATTGTACTTGAAACCGAATGTGCCTTCAGAATCAGTATAGGTACAGTACATACACGGGCCTTTTACGCCGTCCAAGCAAAAAATATGAACCATCGGATTCTATTAATTAGATTCATAAAATTCCAGGTTTTGAATAAAAATGGCATTTAGAACTCTCACTGAAGAAGATATTTCAATTCAAGATAATGCTATTCGTGGAACTAATGAAGATGCAGTTACGAGCAAATTGTAAGTAATATCCTCTCTCAGAACGTCATGCATGGACAGCGTTTTGCACCGGTTAAAAAAAATACTGTTATAATAAGCCAAACATAAAATTTAAAACTTTGAAAGACAGTATCTTCGAAAATTATTTCATTAATAAATATGATTATGTATGGGCATAGATCCGCTGTAAACGCAGGATATATTCAAGATGAGTATGTAAGGTATTTTCTCAAAAGACCTGTAAAAAGATCGCCTCTCATTAACAGAGGTAGTATCGATTTAATAGTGTGAGGGTTGTTTCGGATTGATCAGTCGTTTATTTTCATTTATTTATTTTATTAAACTTAAAATTAGGATCATACGTGCGTAACAAAGGACTAGATACTCTGGTAATAAAGTTTCTGGAAATTGAAGACGGAAAGAAGCAAATTGTGTCGCTAGGTGCTGGATTTGACACACGATATTTTAATTTGAAGGTTTTTTCTCTTTTTCACTCCTAAAGTTGTTTAAAGTTAACTCATTTACATATTTTTACATTATTTAGTCATCATTACGAAAATTTTATAAATATTTTGAAATTGATTTTCCTGAAATCACTGCAAAGAAAGTTGCAATTATTCGAAAAAATAAAGAATTGTCAGAGATTATTGGTGATGATGCTCGAACAGGTCGGTTATAATATAATTTTAATAATAAATCAATTTTCTTGTTTTTAATCAATCAAAAATATACAGGTAAAGGAGGCTTAGAGCTTTATGCGTCAGATTATTGTTTGTTATCAGGAGATCTTCGTGATTTTGTCGAGGATTTGGTTCCAAGGTTGGAGTCCAACGGATTTGATCGCAGGTAAATGTAAATACAGATTCTTTGAAAACAGTTTTTATAAAATATAATGAGCAAGATTCTTATTTATTTAAGTCTTTCAACATTATTCTTATCTGAATGCGTGATGATATATATGGATCCAACGAACTCCAACAAAATTGTGGAATGGATTGGGGAAAACCTAAATACGACAATGTTTATAGTTTATGAACAAATTTTACCAAATGATGCTTTTGGATCTATCATGTTACAAAATCTAAAACATCGAAATATAGAACTTCGTGGAATCCATGCTTATCCTGATCTTAAAAGTCAAAAAGATAGATATTTATCACGCGAATGGACTCATGCTGAAGCTGTCGATATGAATGAAATTTATGACTTTTATATAGATCCAAAGGAACATATTAGGTATCATTTATTTTTTTTATTTTTATTTTTTGATTTGGATTGAAGTTATTAAATATTTTTGATTGATTGCGTAAAATTTAGGATATCAAAGTTAGAAATGTTGGATGAACTCGAAGAATGGCATCTTCTTGCATCGCACTATTGCATTGCTTGGGCCTATAAGGTTTCGACTGAATCTCAAAAAGCGTTGTACGATTCTGTGAAATTCGAGAATTATAAAAAAGAATCCATTGTAAAATCTTGATGGTTTTTTAAAATAATCATCCAGCAATAATTATCAACTAACTTAATCCATTGATACATTTCGGAGAATATTCTGAATTTAGAGCAAAATAAATTAGTAATGATATATCTTATGGTCTTTTATACAATAAAAAAAAAACTTTTCATTCAGAGAGAAGATTATATATCATAACTTATTACTAATAAGTTCGAATATTAAAATATAAACGATACATATTTCAAGATATACATCATTGGTTAAAGACATAGAAGTTGATAAAGAAAACAAGACTTATCTATAAGTTTTAAATTTAACGGTCGAGTTCAGTACGGTACACTAATACATAGGAATGGTCACGACGCAACTTGAATGGACTTGACTTGCTCACTCTTGAGTGAATCGAATCAACTCAAGATTGATTTTATTAAGAATTCCGTCAACTCAACTCACTCAGAGCCTGAATTGATTCGACTTGCTCACACTTTTAAGTGAGTCGAATCGACTGAGGTTTGATTTTATCAAGGACTCCGTCAACTAGAGTCGTGTCTACCCTTAATTATTAAGGGTTTACTAATTTCTCCCCACAGTTCCCATTGGATGAATACAAATATCATTTCCCATTGGACGAAATGAATTACATCAATGATCGGGCCCGAAAAAATTTCACGAAAGTAACGGGGTCGCCTTATGCGGCGCATAAAATAATTTCGCATTTTTCTTTTTGTAATAATTACATATTTTAAATAATTTTTCCCGTCTTTTAATACTAACATTTTGCAACTTTTTTTTTAAACCCGTATCTTTCAAATAGTTTCGTTAAATAGTTTTTTTGCAATTCCATCAAATACTAAAATCTATTGTATCACGCAAAGGTTAACTGAAATAAAAAAATAAAATTCAATTTTTTGTATTTATTTGTTATGACAACTTCACTTGATATAAATGATATTTTTGATATTGATGATGAATTGGTTGACATGGATATTAGTTACAATGAACTTGACAATACACTTGAATGCATTTTAGATGCAACAAATGGTGTTGGGCAAGAATGGGAAGCTTTAAATGATGATCTAGAAGAAACGTCAACAACAGAAAATGTTAAAACTTGCTATTTTTCAGTAAAAGAATATGAAAAATGGATCAAGAATCTTGAAAAAGCGGGTCTTAACTATTATAGGCACGATCACCAGACTAAATTAGGCACAAAAAGAAAAAATGAGTGGATCGAAAGATGGTATTGTCATCATTATGGCGAGTACAAAAGTGTTGTCAGAAAAATGACAAATAAAAAACCACAATTAGTACAAAAAAAAACTAAGAAATGTAGTTGTAAAAGCTATATTTTTGTTACACTTCCTGTGAATTCATCAACCGTAACTTTGAAGTATTATTATAAGCATCATAATCATTATCCCGGTCAACTATCAGACTTGTATATGTTGCCCTTTTCGGATAATATTTGTCAATTTATCCAACAACGTGCTCTTCAGGGTTTGATGTTTTTAGCATATACGGTTTCGGGCAATTGAGTTACAGGATCAGGTTTTTTTTATTTTTTTTTAATACAAATTTTTTATCAATATTTGTTTTATTATATATTTTTTTAATTTAAGCTTAGTGTTGAAATCCAGACAAATATCAGCAAATTTGCACAATTGTGTATATAAAATAATTTAAGATAATTAATCAACAATAACAATACTGTACAAAAATTTTTGTATCATTATTGCAGTATTGTTGATTAATTACTCCTTAAATTATTTTTATATACCCAATTCAGGGCTGATGATTTAGAAAACAGCAGAATTTTTCTTAAAAACAGCTAATCACAAAAATTCGTCTTATTCACTATGAGATGTCACTACAGAATACTGCAGAATTTGCAAATATTGAAATGAGTATCACCAAAAGAAAATGTACCTATCTCAAAATAGACATTATGAATTTCATAATAATATATTTTTAGATAGGTACATTTTCTTTTGGTAATACTCAAATATCACAGAATTAATCTGTGTGTGAAAAATTTCAGATAGACAGATAATTAATGAACATAAAACATGAGCATGGTGGTTGAAAACTCTCTGGATACTAAGAAGTTATTTAGAACCAGAATTTCGCAGAACATGTTAAAAAAAAAGCACATTATATACAGAATTTTTCTTAACTATATGCAAAATTTGGTCATAGCCGTAACAGCAAATTATCAGCCCTAATCCAATTCTGCAAATCTATTAATATACACACATCATTAAATATTTCAAGAGTTTTAATAAATACAAGTCACTCTCATAATAGTGAAGTGATTGGGCTTCATTATTATTGTTATATTAGTAGATTTTATTAGCATATTTTAGAAGATTTTATTAGTAAATTTTATTAGTATAATTTATATTT